GTGTTCCTCCGCCATCGCAGGATAACAGATTCAGTTGTGTTAGGTCTCTTCCCACATCCAACTCATTGTTTTTCCTTATTCCAGCAATCTCAAGAACAAAGGCTAGTCAAATGCAGCTTTATGGATCAAGTACATCTTTGTAAAAGAACCTCGAACCCACTGTAGTCAAGTCAATGAATCTTCAAAGAAATCCACCCAAAGATTTCCAATGCTGTAAACTGTAAAGGGAGGAGACTGTTCATTTTTCTCTTCATGGAGCTGCTAATGGATTGGAACTGCAGGAGAATCTCAGCCTGTGTGAAATCAATGCAGACCAAGTCACCAGAGCTTCCTCAAGTACATTAAAAGTGCCTGGTTAATAACTGCTCCCTGCTCTTAATATTATGTAAATCTGTCCTCTCTTTGAAACAACTGAATCAACCACTACACACAATGAATTCATCAGAATCACCTTCATTTGTGCACATACAACCCTTTTTTCTCAAATGAGCTGGTTTAAGTCCAGGTAGTGCTGAATTCTGGGCATAAATAAGACTGAATAGCAGACTCTGGCAGGATTCTGGACTGTGCTTGCTTGACTGCACAGCTAAGACAGGACCAGCCAGTGAGAGGAACTAAAGAGATGAATGGTTTCTTTTTCTTCTTTGTTTTACAAAAGCGTATTCTTAAATGTACAACAGTGCTGGCTTTAGCTCTGTGGTTCCTTCAACAAGGAGACATAAACTGCCTTAAATGTACAACAGGCTCCATGACAATACTTCATTCTAACTACAGGCAGCAACATATGTTATAGCAGAGAATATAGATGTTTACACGAGAATAGAATTAAAGCTCACCATCACCTCAGCCATAAGGCACTCCTTCCCCCACCACTCTCAATTTCTGAATTCCACCTGGCAGCCTCTACTTTAGCTCCTCAAGTTTCTCCTGTTCTCATTTCTGCTTGAAAGTCTTCTCTTCCTCATGTATTTCCTCTCTCTGCTGCTTGGGTTATTTCCGAGGCTGCTTCTAGCTACCTTTGAGGACTGACATGGCACTGGCTGCCCCTTTCCCAGACCTGCTACCCAACGACCTTCAAATCATGCAAAAGATTTTGAGACTTTTCTTACACTACCCATCTTGGGCTTGGTAGCATGACTTTCTGTCCACTAGGCCAACATAGCTCTCTCTATGTTGTCGTTGTTATTGTTGTTAGGTGCCATTGAGTCATAGACAATGCATAGCGACCCTATGAACAAAAGACCTGAGCACTGTTCATAGTTTCCAGATGCAAGCCATTTCAGAAGTGGATGCCACTCCTGCTTCCAAGCTTGTTTGTATCGGGGAGCTCCACCAAACACTGCTCACCATGTGTAACCATTATCACATTTGGCACATCAGTGTCACAGTGTTTAGCAACAAGAAGAAGTATATTTTAAAACTAAAAAAATTCTTTTACATTTCTCAAAATCATGCTTAAAAAAGGCATATCATTTTCAAAATCATTTTTGGTAATGATTGATATAAACCTCCTACACTAAGCTGTTGTTATGTGCTGTCGAGTCGCCTGTGACTCCTAGCAACCCTATGTAAAACAGCCCTTAACCCTGCTCTATCCTGTGCCAATCTTATTGTCTCTGACACACCTACTTCCATTACCCCAGTCACTAAGTCAATCCAGCTCATTGAGGGTCTTATTCTCTTGCACTATCTCTCTACTCTTCCAAGCATAACGTCCCTCTCCAAGGACTGGTCCCCCTTTGCAATAGTCCAAAGTATGTCAGACGAAGCTTCAGATTCCCTGCCTCCAAGGAGTAGCCTGCTATCACTTGTTCTAGGATGAACTTGTTTGATTTTTCTCCTAGCAGTCTACAGTATATTCAATATTCTTCTCCAGCACCACAGCTCAAAGGCATCAATTCTCCTTCTATCATCCCTAGTCATTGTCCAGCTTTCTGAAAGCCAAATTACCATTATGAGTTACTTAAGTACCCTCGGCAATTCCTTCTCTCTGTTTCTTTGGAGCACATATACAAAAGTTAAAAACATTTTGGTCACACACCTTTTCTCACCTCATTTTAGCCTCAGAGAAGAGCCCTAACATGAAAGACAAAATGGCAATAAGAAATCATGATGTAATATGAACAATCACCATATCTCTTTAAAAAGAATAAAATGTAGTAGGAAAATCGAGCATAAATCAGAAAATGGAAGGGTCATCAATAATAGTAATGAACACAACTCTTCCTTCTGCCAGATGGCAAACTGGAAGGATTAAACAAGCCTAAGGTGACACAGAAGAATTTCATGAAAAAACATATGAGCAAGAGCCTATGGTGATGAAAGAAGAAGTTCAGGCTGCTTTGAAGGAAATGGCAAAAAATAAGGCTCCAGGAATAGATGGTATAC